TCGACAGGCCGACCACAGCCTGGAGCGGGCCCGTAGCGGTCCGAGCTGATGGGCAAGGGAAGCCGTTGGCGGAGGCCTATCTGCATTTTGATCATAGCTGTCAACTGTTTTTCGACAGCTGCATTTCCCTGTTGTCTTGCAACAAGCCTACACCCAATCAACTGCAACGTCGGAGGGTTTGCAATCAAGCGTTGGCAAGAAATCACGAGCAACTTCATGAAACGTTGCGGTCATGCACTCGTGTTATGTGTTCGGAATCAGGCTCAACATTCCCATATTGCAACATGTGCTGGTCGAATAATGCCGAAAACTGATCGTAAGTCTCAAAACATGTCCTGTGCTTCAAACCATAAGTTGGCTTCGAGACTCGATGTTGGTTGTTCTGCACTTGCACCAAAAGCTTCGCAATGACCAGAAATTGGTGCGAAGCAAGCGATACTACTATTGCTTGTGTTTTTCTTGCTTGAACGGACATCCTGCTTGATGCTCAAAGTGCTGAGGGAAATCAACAAAGATAGTGCTTGGCAGAAAATTGATCTGCGAGCACGTGGTGCGATAAGAAACCCAACACCTGCCGGTTCCAGATCTTCGTAAGTCGCCGGGCTAGAGAATATGAACAAATCCGTGTCTGAAACTTGGCGGTCGGAGCATGAGCGATGAGTTTCTTGCAAACAAGGCACCCCGATATTCTACATGTAGTGCTGAAGTTCCACAAGTCTTGTTTCTGTAAGCCCTTGCACATTCCAGGTGGCGACGCGCAAGTCCCGCAACGAAGCGCACAAATTGACCGCCACGAAAAAATCTAGGCAGGATGGCACGAACCCAGTTCGCACACGAACGCCACGAACCCAGGGCTACACGAACCTTCTCGAGATTTTACGGGCCTGAACCCTGGCGGACAACTGCGCAGGCTTAGATGGAGGGGTTGCTTTGACGAACGGCTCGCGGCGGGAGGAAGGCTAGCCGCGGCTAGCCGGCTAGCCGAACCCTGTCAAACGACGGCGGGTGTTGGATATCATATGCACTGCCCCCTTCCGAGCTGCCATGAATGGTCCAGCTTTAGGATGCCCTTGAACGTCACAGCACAATGTTTGTTGAGTTGCGTAGGACTGGAAGACCTGTAGCAGTCGTAACTTAATTTCATTGGATCTCAAGGACTTTGTCCCTCGTGTTGCTACAAAAAATTGCGCGGGACACCGATGCGGCACCCAGCGGTCTGGCCTTCCAGCGCAGGCATCAAGTGTGAGACACCCAACTTCCACTTTTTTGAATGTGCAAAGCCCGGCTCCGGCTGTGGGATTTGTGTGATGTCTGGCATGCCCATCCTGATTGATTGTTTCGCTGGCATTAGAATGCGACAACCAACCATCCGCTTCGTTTGATTGCAGAGAACAACATCGTGTGCCAGCTTTCATTGTCGCATCTTAAAGGACGCGCATCAAATTCAGCTCACTGCGGGAAACGGACAGCAACGCCCAGCTTGTACTGTTTGTTGGTGTTGTAGGATGTTGATGCGTGTGTTGCACCCTGCTCTCCGTGCTTGTTGCGAGCATCCACGTGTATCGCCTTTACCGCTCGGCGCCGACAGCTCATGTTTCACGCCGGGCATTTGCGTGAGGTGCTGCCTGTATGTGCGCACAGGGGATCGCGAAGGACATTTGGCTGTGGAATGTTGTGGCGGGGCACCGCCCCAGCACTTGTTACAAACCCGTTCAGACGCGGCCTGTTGTTACGTATCTTCGTCGCAAATGCTTGGTACATCTTGGTACTGGAATGCACCAAAAGGAGACCTTTTTGCAAAGGCTCCTGTTGCAAGGCGGGGAATTCCATTACAAACCTAATGTCAAGGAAGACCGTCCGATGCAACATCTTGAAAGCAGTCCTCCTTGGGTCATGTGCAGCACCTGACCGCCTGGTTGGGCGAGCATTATGCGTTTGAAAACCAGACGATCACCTTTGCAGGCAGACGTCTGCGACACGAGTCCCGGGCAACAAAGAAACACCACGGGGCCGTAAAAGAATCATAGAAGCTGTTCTTTCACATGTCAATGTTCACGTTGGCGAAAGCCAACGCAACATGCGCCAGCATATTGTCACATCTTGAAGTCGTGTCGTGGCATGCGGTTAAGCGCAGGTTCTTGCGTCAAGCGTGTGCCACCAGCTGTGTTCGAATGCCCGGGAGCACGCTAGCAAAATTGCACCGCAATCGCATATACAGCAAAATGGAACAACGCAGGCAATGGCTTATTTGTAGCCTTGTGCTCAGGCAACCAGGCAACCTGGGACAGTATGCACGCAACGCTTGCCACTACTACGATTGTCCATGCAAGGTGCGCATGCATACGCCGGAACGATGGTTTCCCCAAGGAGTGATAGCGCCCTGCAGGTTTGTTAGCCGTTTTTGTTGGCAGCGCAATTGCCCTCAATCTGCCACCAGATCCAATCAATGTTGCATCCGCAAGCGGAAGGAGCGCTCACGCGTTGTGTTGTGACATGTGGCGGCACATTCGGTTTGTTGGTTGTTTGCTGTAAGCCGTCCTGCAGGCTTGGAAAAAATCTGGCAGCTCAAACGGCGCAGCAGTCTTGTTTTTGTTGCACAGAACCGCTTTGGGAGGCCCAAACAACCCTTGGAGCATGACGGGCCTCAACCCACAGTAAAGAGCCAGAAAGTCGCAAGGAACTCACCGCGCAGAAAAATGGAACATGGTCTGAGCATGCATGCATTCGAGAAGCGCCACCAGTTCTGGCCGGGTTGGCCAGCTGAGAGGCATGATGTTGAAGCGACCATCAAACAAATGCGATTCAGGCACCTTGACCCAAATTCGTTTGAACAGCAGTGAGTGCGGATGAGTCTGCAGACCACACAGCCGCAAGCGCGACCACCGGTGGCGCAAGGAAAACACAAATTCATTAGCCTGCAGGAATTTCCGGCAATGTTCATGGCATCATTGCCCACCACCCACCCTTCTCCCATCAATGCGTCTCGTTGCCCGTGGAAGCAGCACAACATTCTAGAATGCGTGCATGATACTATGCTCCACAGTCAGCAATTGCACAGCATGCACACGACGCCACGCGAAGTACCGCGCTGCAAGCCAATTTCCTGACACGCCCGCTGTAATACTTGCGCCCAAAAGCGGCTTCCCTGATTCCGTCAGCAACTTTTCGTGGCTTACGTCTGGCTTCTCCAGATATGTTTCTACCAAAGCCTTATCGAACGTCATGATTGCATGGCTTTGGAGGCACCACCTGCTCATGAACAACAGAGATTGGACAGTTGTCACCTCGCACTGGCATTCCATCAAGAAAATCGTTGCCGCGCAAGAGGCAGTTGGTAGTCTCACTTGCATGTATTACTTGATTCAAAGCTCCGAGCCGCCACTTGCCTGCACGACATCAGCAAATCCAAAACGGGTCTTTTTCACGCGAGCCGGAGCATCGGCTGCCAAAGAGCCCCGAGCTGAAACGCTCCAGCTGGGCCTATTCGGCGTGGTCCTGAGAACCAAAACATGTGTATATATATATATATAAAGGTGCAGCTGAACATCTCTTTGCTTGCAGTTGTCTCTTGCTCACTCTTGTTCTTACATGTATTTTTGACACGATATGTTGTATGACCATGAATGCACATATGAGCTACTGTCTAAACTCCTAGTATCCCCCTTAATAGCCCCTATAGTAGTCCCCTATATAATCCCTTATTAATCCCCCTTTAAGGAGTTTAGACTATAGCTCATATGTGTATCACGTATCTGTCGCAGTTGGCATGGCACACCTGGGGTCAGCACTGGGCGCTCACAGCGGTCGCCGCTGTCTCTGGCGGTTTTCCCATCACGGTCACAGGCCCTGGCAGGCAGAGGCAAAAGGACGTTGGGTCACTGATCACCATACATCCTTGAATCCCGTTGGAACATTCCGCAATGCCTGATCAGGCATCTTGCCGACAGCATCCATAAGCAACAATAACATGCTTCTTCCCTCCTCCCGACCCCACTCCCCGGCCGCGGATAGGTGCCGTCTTCCACCAGGCATCTGCGCGGAGCGGCACTTGGGTGATCGGCTCCGTAGGGCTAGGCTTGTCTCCTGAAACTCGAATTGGTGCTTAGCAGCAATGATCACTGTTGGTATCGTGGTGTACTGCATTTAGGTGATCCTCTTTCGCCTGTAACTGCCAGCTAGCCTCCGTGGTCACCATGGTCAGATTTCTGCCCTTGTTCATGTTTACCATCAGTCATGTCGTAGTCGCGCAAGGCTCCTGCTGACACACCGACGCGGCCTGATGAGGCGACCTTTGGGCGGATTGCAGCCGGAATCAGCCCCTATAGGTGATCTCTTCATAGTTCCACCCACAGAGTCATGTCTACTGCCATCGAAATACCATGGAGCACAACTGTACATACCTAAACACCTCTACATTTTATGGTGTACATTACACCTGTCCATTTTGGTACCCGGCACTGAACGTCTGAAACTCTCAAGTTTGTAGGTTTCACGTGTGTGCAAGCATGCTTCCATGCGTGGCTTGGCATGCTTGGAAGCCGTGTGTTTCCTTAACATGGGCCAGAGAACTGGCCAGAGTTCAGAAGCACCTTTAGATATGCAGTACATTACACAAGCGAGGTTGAGGAGCGGCCCGGAGGCCTCTGAAGCTCTGGAGCCTCGGGAGGCCGAGTTGGGAGATGCCGAGCCTCCCAGCGCCCCTCTAAGGGTCTATAGGTTTTGAGGCTTTAGGGATAAAGGGATTTAGGGTACCCAAGAATATACAGTGAGTTGGCTTATACTGGTGTACAACATGTATATGTCTAAAATATGTGTGTATTTATAAGTATACATCGATGGATATATGTACATATTAAGACGTGAGGAAGATAGTATACACATGCACGTGTCAGATAACAACTGATGATGTACCATCTATTACTTTCTATAACCTTGTGTAACAATTAGACAAGAAAAGTACAGCTTGTCTTATTTGCACAAGGCAAAGCCTATCGGCAGGCCTAACTCGAAGATCTCCTTCTGTCGGTCCATGTTGCTGGCCCACACCACTGGAGCCTGCTTGTCATTTGTGAAAGGCTTGAAATTCTCCCAAACGCGAAAGAAGGCCTCTGAGGCACAGCCAGTGAGACCTAAGGTCTTGAACAGCCTTTGACTGTGACTTATCCCACTCTTTTTGTCCTGTAGGCAAGCAAGGGTCCAGCCTGCCGCATTGATGGCAGCCACACTGCAAACTGCCCCAGAGCAGGAAGGCAACTGGTCAAGCCTCACGCCATCAAAGACATCAAGCCTGTATACCCAGCAACACCCCACAACATCACCCAATGGAGTGGCAGGCTTCACCGGCGCTTTCTGCGTCCGAGAGCCCCTGAAAAGGTCACAAACTCCAATAGCTGTAGGCCGCAAGTCTAAAACCCTAAACCCTACGGACCCTACGAACCCTACGGAGTCGGCCTATGTTCGAATAGCCCCAGGTCAATGAAGCCATCAGCTGGAAAGAAGCCTCCCAAGCCGTCCTGCAAAAAAAGGGATGGATCAGACTTTTGGGGGGTCAGTGTGCTGCGAAGATTCAATATTTCCTACATAAGGCGCGGCTCCTGGAAGACTGGCCGCAACCAAATCCTTGGAGAAGGTTAGATCTGAAACTATCATTCATGTTCCGTGCCCAACAAGATTTGGGCAGACAGAAAAGGTTGGGCAGCTGCCTGTAAGCAACGAGATCAGCCCCGCCACTTTCGATTGGGGGCTCCCACTCGATACTCAAGGCCTTGGCTGCAAAGAGCCAACTCCGCTTCATGAAGCCCTGCGAGCTGGAAAGCACTCTCCACAGCGGTCCAGCTAATGGGAAGGACAGGAAGCTTCAGAAGCTGAAGCAGAGCGGCTGTTGGCTCTGTGGGCTCCCCCTCCACGGAAATCCGCGCTTCCCCGCAAAGTCCTGGTGCCACTGGGCCCGTCTGCCCAAGAACCTGGTGACGGAACGCTCTATCATGGACAGGTACAGTAAGCCTTCACCCTTGTTCTGGGCTTCCTTCATTTTAGGTTTTAGGTGCTCTCCCTAGCCCCTCGGCCTCAGCAGCTGGCCCGGAACCGGCCTTCTCAATTTGAGTTTGACATGTCTGCTTTGAGAGGTACCGGGTACAGTATTTGATCGAGCATTTTCAGAGCTGCCGCCACCGCACCTCGTTCACAGCCCAAACACGGATTGTGTAAACCTGAGGCACGGCAAAGAACACAGTGTTCCGCGCTGCGTTTCTCAGATATCAAAAAATTGCAGCCAGGTCTCTGTGTTGCCAGATAAGTTTTTGAGCGTGACAGATGGGTCTTGCAAAGCTGGAGCGCTGGCTGTCCTGAAGCTCAAAAAGGAATGCCCTGCAACTTACGGTTCAGCTTCAAGGTGCCTGGGCTCATCCAGAAAGCCTTCGCCAGGGAACCCCGCCGCCGAAATCCTTGTGGAGGGCTCTCGTGCCTCAAGCAGAAGGGAGCTGCGAAGGCGTTCGGGCAGCCAAGTCTGAGGCCTTTGCCTCAATACGATACCCACCTCAGGCGTGGCATTGCTTGCAAACTTGCAGCTCTTCCCAAAAACTGCAAGGAATGAATGGAGACGCCGCCGCGGGGCGCAAAGGAAGGTCGCCGTCGCTGGATGGCGGCTCCCAGGCCAGGCGAAGCTCGTCGGCCCTTATTCAAAGCTCAGCGGCTGTTGCTGCTGCTGCTCTCCAAGCGCATGTCTCCACAGTTTTACGAGGCCTGGAGGCGTTCACCACGTGCAGGCTGCGGACAGGAGCTGGCGTGGTGCCCAAGCAAAACCTGCAAAAAATTTTCTACGAACACACGGCAAGTGCAGCCCACTCGGGCGTATGCCTGCAAGTGATGAAGCCAATCTCTCTGGAGTCTTTCACAATAGACCATGTGCAAGGCCTCAGCGTTCCAAGCTAGGACAAACCTATGCCATGACGACTCGCGGCCACATCTGCCTCTTGTTGAAGCGCTGCTCCAAAGGAACAAAACCTCAAGGAGTGAAATGAACAGGTGTTCTGTGTGCCAACTGCATAGCCGAGCAACACTGGCCCACGTGTTGCCTGGTTGGCACGCTGTCCTGCAGTTGAAGGCTGGCAGGGGGCATGCGTGCTCCTGGCACTTGAGATGCCCGCTTCTCATGTTTACAACGCCTAGGGCGACATGCTATGCTGGAAGTGTATGGCGTATGGTGCTTGTGATGCCGGCAGTGGAAGGCTGGATTTCAGCAGCTTGCAGCTGCTTTGACAACTGTGCTTATTATGCAGCTTCAATGGGCCCCGCAAAGATCTGGTCCCCACTGCTCACAGACTGAGGCTACTGTACCTGCCGGGTACTGTCCTGATCAAAGCTTGCTGGGGCTTGCTACGCTTTGTTGGAGGCCGTGGTTTTCCTATCGTTTTCTTCCTTCCCAGTTGTTGCAGCTGTCGTGGGTATGGTAGTCTATGTCTTCGGAGGGCTTCAGATCAAGCAAGCAGCGGAAAAACAACAGCGCAATGGCGGAGCAACCAAATTCCCTGCGTATCCATCCATGTGAAGCTCGGTCCAGGATGCCCAAGCGCTCCTCACAAGCCGTGGATGTTACCATGAAAGCCTCCCGCTTCTGGCTAAGACTCCGAGGGCCTCCCAGACATCCACAGAAGCATAGTCAGCGGGCCTCAGAAGTAGCTACTCTGAAGAATCGTGCGACTGATGCCTTATCTTCTCAACACTCCTCGAGTAATGTTGCGTAACGAATATTCAAATAATTTGGAATAGCGCAAACTTTATGTCCCGCACGGAAGTATGACGAGGCAGAGACAAAATAGTGGCATGCTCCAAACTGGAAGACCCAAACACAGACAAACAGAGAAACAGGAGAGAAGAGAAGCCAGCTAGTCTCTGCGCAACCCTGGCAACCCCTAATTACCTTGTATTGCTGAAGAGTTTGCCTGTTAATGCTTGATCCCGATTAGTGTGGGTGGCCTTAGTTGTGCAAAGTTTCGCCGAAATCATTCGACACCACCTGGGTTCGTTTGGGGGCCCTGAATCTAGTTGTGCGAAGTTGCGGGCAGAAAAAATCATTCCGAGAAAAGTTCAGTAAGAACTCTTCTGAATGCCATCTAAACCGATTCATCTATTACCGAGCCGATCCTGATCCCTCATATTGAATTTTGTTCAACAGCTAGGGTCTACAGCATACGGGGCGCAGCGTCATGCAACGAATTACAGCATTGAATTTTGTTTAAACCTAAGATCCAGATTAGTTTGGGGGCGCTAATTAGGACCCGATTTTGTTTGGGGGTGTACCCACACTAAACAGGACCCCACATGATTCAAGGCTCCCCCAACTCCTGAGATCCCCCTCAATGCAACTTTTCCCGAAGCAAGAACGGGGTGGATTCTTGTTCTGTCAGAAATGTTTAATTGTTGTCTTAGTTCCTTCTTGGGGGGGGAGATGGCGGAGGGGATTGAAATAACTATGGCAGTCCAG